AGTTCTTGAATGAATTTGTTAAATACATCTAAGATACACGGGTTTTCATATGTTTCACTCGACACAACGGTACTTACAGCACTGGAGGAGGCGTCAAGACTTGTTCGAGACGTGTCAACACTTATAGCACTGGAGGGGGGGTCAATACTTGCTGGAGACGGGTCAACACTTACATCACTGGAAGGCATTTCACTAGAGACTCGGACGTTCGCTTCACTCCTCGGGCTGGCGAGATGATCGTTTGAACACTGACTCGGGTCGTCCATGGTGATCTTAGCATAAATGCTGTTGAGACCATTTTCAATCTTCGTGAGTGTTTCTTGGAGCTTATTGACGGTAATTTCTATTTTGTTCATGCGAGCTGGAAGTTCTAACACCTCCCTCTGCAGGCTGGCGTCAGGCTTCCCAGGTAGGCCAGGGAAGGTTGTCAGGCTGTTGGCGTCAGGAACGGTGGTGGGGTCATCCCGGGTGAGGGGGCGGGTAGTGTACTACCCGCCCCTATTATATTGTACTTTTTTCGAATCGATACCGTCCAGAATGCAAAGACGTCTTATAAAACCCGTTAGGTCTATTATTATCAAATAAAGAAATCTGGTACCGCAGATTTAGTGTAGGTAGGTGTAGTGGTGGGGCCACCCCGGGTGGGGGGGTTGACTGGGGTGGTGGAGGGTTGCCCCACTGTGCTGTACGGGAGAGGCCGCTTGACACAGTCCTTGTGCCAGGCGGTCACTCCCTCCCGCAAGCACCTGGAACACTTGTGCTTGGTGGCTGAGGATGAGGTCTCATCGGTCCCAGGGGCGTGGTCCAGACTTGATTGTTACGTAAAGTATGGTGACAAATAAACACAGACACTAAGATACTATATTTATATTTGGTCGAATATACAGAAGTACACAGGTGATACGCTGGTGTGAGTTGAGCGCACTGAGCGTTGGTACAGTATCACGCAAGTGTCTGCTCTAGACCACACTTGAAAGTAGACTTGAAAGTATTGGGGCAGTCTTTAGTGAGATGATTGGCTGCACAGAAGGCACAGGTGCCTGAAGATTGACAGTGTTTGGCTACGTGACCAAAGTGTTGACATTTAAAACACATGACCGCTGAGGACACCCAGCGTGTTATGGGGCAGGCTGGCCGGTAGGGGCCTAGGAACGTGTAATGACTGGGGGGCGGTGTCTCATGTTTCCAGACGATGACAATCCTGTTGAGTGGCTTGCCTCCAGACTTGATGCGTCTTGCACTGTGCACACCTGGTAGTTCTTTCGCATGGGAGACGTCAAGGTCATGAGGGTAGGATGTGACAAGGTCTGTACCTCCTGGACCTCTCAGGAGAGTCTGCTTTACTGAATGTGATGCCACCCACTCGACCTTGGAGTAGGGCCGAGATGGTGACTTCATCGGACCTGGCTACATAGATGTAGGGCGAGGCGTGTCTAGGGATTATGAGGTCAATGGGGTCAGGAAAATGGCTAGGAAGGTCCCGTCTCATCCAGGCGTACCTCTGGTCACTGGTAACTTGAGATGGAAATGCCAGCCTGGCATATTTATTACGGGGTGCCAGGGTGGGTCGTGGTGCCCCCCCCCCCCCGTTGTGGGGGTGACATTGGTCGTCTTGACAGAATTATTACCTTCCCTTAACTTCCTCTCATTACGTAAGGTCTTCCGGCTTTTGTATACAGTAAAACCACCATCCGAGGCTGCTTCATCACTTGAGCTGGTGTCCTCATACCTGGCTATACTGGGATGGAGTGATTGGCCATGCTGTAAGTCATGCGGGGAGGTGGCCGAAGTGGACGCAAATGCTTCTGAAGCATTTTGGGAAGGGTCGCTGTGAATGACCCCATAAGGCGGGAGGGAAGTGGCCATAGTTGCCAAAGTCACAACATGAAGTGACAATACACGTCAGCTTCTACCACAGAGTAGCACTTCAGGCTATGGCCTGGACCCAAAACAACAGCGGCTACTAATCATAGTGCAGACAAGATGAATAGTTCAGACACTTACAAGCAAACGCAGGTGTATACGCGGTCAGCTGGCAACACTGCTGAGGGTAGTGTGGCTCCGACCAGTGACAGGTGTAGAGAGTGCCACTCTGATACCTACTTTATCCACACACAAACACACTTAATAGTCCTCTACACTGTATGTAACACTGGTACCACCAATCACTGAGGCATCTGTACAGTGGTATGCGAGTGGTCCGTTCGTGCCACCGTGTCCAAGCTGTACAGGGGAATTACAGCTTTAGGGAACGGGGCAATAGGGGCTAAAGTTCCAGCGCCTGGGGTACCACTTCAGGCGTCTGACCAGGCGTGAGGTAAGGGGAAGCGGCCATGTCCCCACTGCCCAAGGCGCTATAGTAGACAAAAGCTCTGGCTGCCGTGTACTAAGGGAGGTGGCAGCTTGAAGCCAGTATTCTCAGCACCTGATTTGATTTATATTATTATCACTATAACCTGCACTTTATTGTCTTAGAGTAAATTTTTACTGCCATTAATTATTCATGTTGTTTTGTTTGTTGACTTGTTTTGAATTTTACGTAAGCCAAGAGATTCTCTTTATTCATATCTTGTTTTCTAGAGTAATTAAAATTTCATTGTTTATACTTTGTGTTTTGTGTGTCTTCCCATTACCTTACCACAGACAAAAGAGCAAACGATCTTCTTTTTTTTTGTTATGTGACGAGGCCCTGCCCCCAGCTATTGAAACAGCCGAACACCAACGCTTTACCGTCACAATAAAGACTGACTTTTTGGGTAAATTAGGGTTGACATCTACACATAGGTACTTGAATAAGTTTTAGGTGACTAGTTTTCTTCATTAATGTCTGAGAAATTAGATGGGGCTAGGTACAGACTGATATAGACCTAACGTGACTGCCTGTCCCCACACACAATGAATTTCCTAAAAATTCTAATGCTTGTAAGAAGTATAATAATCTAGAGAACTCATGTAAATTATGTATAAGTCACAATGACATTATCAACAAGCTTCTCCGAAGAACAAACTGCGGTATCTTCGTGAGGGCAAGTAGCACTCCAGGTTGCAATTATTTTACCATCTCGTGGCGCAGTCGAGTAAGGCGCGTCTGGGATCTTTCCGGACGTAGGTTTGATCCCTCATCACGGCCCTTGTGGATTTGTTAACTGTATATAGTTTAAACTGATATGTCACGATATTGTGATTTCTTTGTGTATTGTTATTGTACGTTTTGCCCATGGTATTTGTGCTCTATATTAAACTTCGTCTTGAGGCAAAGCCTACTGCCTCAGAATATATTGATAATATATTAGTATAATATAATATATAATATCCTTAGATCATTTACTATATCGTTCAAATCTAGTGGATATCTTGATCGTCCCCTTAAACCGTCCCCACAGGTGCTGTTGACAATGGGTGATGGCTTACATTTTAAGTGGAGAGTCTGTATAAATAAGTGGGTCTTCAGACCGTCTTATTTGCCTTACTTCTTGCGTTGAAATGTCTATAAGAATCCAAACTTAATGTATTAATTGTAGGTGATTCTCCGAGCATCTCTAATTGTGCTCTTTTAATGAAGCTAAACAAAAATACCAAAAAATTATTAATGGTGATAACAGAGTCTATTTCATGTGGATTCCATTTCATGTCGTTCTCAGAATGCAAGAATGGAGACCATTCTTAGAAAGAGACTACAAGACGACTTGGACAAACTTGAGGAATGTTCCAGAAAATGGCTCATAAAGTTTAACTCAAGTGTTAAGATATTGACTTAAGTTGATATATAAAGTTACTTGAGCATACTATTTTCATCTATTCAGAACCCAGACAAAAGGGCACTAAATAATATTAATTTAATGAACTCATTAGTTTAATGAGTTCATTAATGGATGTAAGCCATAAACTCACAGGAAAGTTAAAACCTACAACATTATAAGTAAATCCTCCAAAGAGAGAAAGAGATATAAACACCCCCCCCCCCTCCGGCCCTTGGGCGTTTAGTAACTGTTTTGTATCTCATTATATCAGTGAGTGCTGGTTATTACTGGATGATTGAGTGTGGTGAGGTTGAGTGTATGTTGGGGTTATGAGAGCGTGTTGAGGTTGAGTGTATCTTGGGGTTATGAGAGCGTGTTGAGGTTGAGAATGTGTTCTGGCTGAATGTTGACATTGTGTGTCAACACAATGTATTTATTTTTAATGTATTTCATGTATATTCCACATGTATTTATTTATACATAACTTTAATAACTGTTAGGCTGCAGGACAAAATCGAAATTCAAGTAAGACTGGGCTCAAGACTATTTGCTTCCTGAGAAATAATGAACGTAAGTTGTAGTTGTAAGTTTGATATTGCTATAATTGGGTGGGAAGAGAAACAAACTGGTGATCCACATGGCTTTTATTTACCGAATAATACCACACCGGGTTATCGGTGACATTTACACTGTATTCACCTAATCTAAGTAATAATTTACAATGCACCATTTACTATGTACCATTTACAAAAGAGCATCTGCTCGAAATATTATTCACCTAAGTAATAATTAATCCAACAAAATAACTTAATCCTAACAGATATTAAAGTCATCAGCTGGAGAATTAAAATCAAACTGTCATACATGAGGCCATCAGGTAATTAGTAGGCTTCTAGTTAACCGGCAGATGACCATTCAAACTTAGGGTGTTTATGAAATTTCCTAGACAATTAAGTACTAATTCAGACAGTAAATGACTCAGTTTATCTCAGTTTGCATTATATAATTTGGATTCACAATTACAACTTCTCTTCTGAATTATTACTCCCGAATGTGAAATTGTGTGAAAGAATTAAATTGCCTGTATTCCATTCAGGTACAAAACTACTGTTATCAGCAAATGTGAGATAATGAAGGCAAAATTTAAATGGTACCAGTTTGATATTGTGGATTCATTAAAGAGAATACAAGAACAATTTAGCATTTCGATTTGTATGGAAATCATTTCGATCTGCATGGAAAGGCTCCTAATTCGAGATTTTATAATTTCGGTATGTTCTGCATGGTCTTATTGGTTAGGTTAGTGCCTAGGACTATGGTTAGTGCTTTTGAGATCCAGAGGGTAAGGGAAGCAGTAAAGTAGAGCAAGAGGGCAGTGTCCACATCTGGGATGGCAGTAATGGATGTGGTGGAGGAGTAGGCTATCACAGCAGCACAGCGCACAGCCTCTACCACTGGCGCCCACAACCACCCATCATACATGGCTGACATCACACCCACTGTCACGAATATGAAGATCTGGCACGTCACAACCGCCTCCAAGGATAATATCTGAGGGACACAAATAATATATATTACTACATTACCCGACACTAATTACATAAATAACTTTGATTTACGATAAATCTAAACTAATTCTGCTCTATTAAATGTAATATTAATTCTAAATATTCTTGTAGGGCCTCATAATGTACTTACATTATGCATCCAGCATTTCTTCGACCCATAATTTCGTTGATTATTTAAAATTATCAGAAAGCTAAAAATGGGTTGAACTTGTGGGATTAATATAATTTGCTGTAAATTCTGAATTAATTTGCTCGCCTCCCTAAGTGAAGATAGGACGGTAGTCGTATCAGACTTAGGTGCTAGGCGGATGTGTCGTGGAGTGCTCTTGAGAATGTGTGACCACATGCTAAGCAAATTGAGTAAGATCAAATAATATCACATTGTCTGTCAGAATATGGAGAAGGCGGTTTGCCTCAGCAACAGGAGAACCTCTGGGAACTCTTCTCTTACAAAGAACATCGTATGCATTATAAAAGCCAAGAAAATGGAAGAAAGCTCGTGGGGAAGCACTGTCCCGTTTTCTGATTTGGTTCCTTTGGTTAGGAGAGGACACGTTAAATTAACAGTTTTCTTTGGGAAACCTTAGGAGAGGCTGCTGGGAGAACCAATGGGAGACTGCTATGCGTGCAGGCCTTTTCAGGTGAGCGAGGACCAATAAAAAGAAATTATCATACAGGTAAAAAGTGAAACCGAGAGTGGGATGAGAAACGAATTGTAATGATCAATGCCAGACGGGACCGGGTCATTTGAGGTCTCAAAAAGAAAACGTCACCAGACAGATGCAGGGTGTTCCTCGGTCATACATACATAACAGATGGAACCGACGTGGCAGTGGGAAGTATTAAATTATCTCAATAAATTTAAACTTGAACTTTATGAGCATAGTGGAAGCATAGTAAATTGAAGTAAATGTGAATACATACAGAAATCACAATAATGTAATACATCAAATGAACAAATCTACGTGATGAGGATTCGACCCAGCGCATGGGATGTTCCCAAATTCGCCTTAGTCAACTGAACATGGTCAAAAGAATTGCAACCGGGAGTGCTACTGCCCTCACTAGGATCCCAAATTGGGGTTTCACACAATTCCCCATGCCTCCATCACGGACTTTGTTCGTTTAAATATCAATAATTAGCAAGCAAGGTGCGTAATGAAGACAAAAACTCTGAATTAAGAGCAAATGGAGACAAGAAACTGTAAAGGCCTTACCTGGAAGTTGAAGCACATCAGCTGTTGAGCGATGAACGACAGCGCCATGTGAGTGGAGACATACATAAATTTCCACAGTGGCAGTTGGGGGTCGTACTTGGGCCTGGGAGCCTGGACGTCGGTGAAGGTGAGAGGGTCCCCTAGACGAGGCGTCCCCGGGGCCCAGCCGGGGCCGTAGAACACAGACCTCAGTGAATCTCCCCAACTGCTCATGCTTCTTGCCTTCCGGTAAACTTCAGCAAAGTAGAAGAACTGTGCAGATAAATTTTTAATATGTAAAACAGATTTACAAAGGCCGCTTACCACAAAATGATGGCGAGTTCAAGAAAATTGCTTGGAAACTCCAAGCACGGTATATATAAGAGCTATATTTATATCAGATGGACAAATTTTATGAATGAATTTATGATCACCTAAAAACAAAAGTGTACAGAAAAAATATTTAATATATTAAATATTTAGAGTACTTATTTAAGTCTTATTTAAATGTTTTTAAGTCCACTAGTTAAAAGATATTCCTCTATGAGAACTCATGCTTATGCATGAGTTCGGCAAAATGAGTAAAATAGTTGATAACATACCTGATGCCAGAGAACGTTATGGGTCTGGGGCTGCTGTGTCAAGCCGTAGACTATCTCCTCCTGGTCTCTCTCTCCCTCAAAGGTGCCAAAGATGCGGTCCCAGATGATTAAAACACTGGCGTAGTTTTTATCCAGGCACCACTTGTTAGCTCCTGGATATAAACAATTAGTCTGTTAAAGTATTATGCTAAACATAAATCTTTCAGATAAAATGATTCTACTTTTATTTCATTAGTTACAAACGAACATAGGCATAAAAACGAACGAACGGAGGCATTATGCGGGGTTGGAGGCATAAAAAAGTAGACGCATTGCACCAGACCTACCATGATGGACGCGGTGATGGGAAGGTGTCATGAAAATCCAGCCTACTGGTCCGAGGCTGCCAATGTACTCTGTATGCACCCAAATCTGGAACACATAATTTAAAGCAATGTGGACAACGACAGAGGGTAGCGGAAATCCTAGTAGAGCCAGAGGTTGGTAGCAACACATATTGGCGGGTCGCTGGAACATTGATATGCGTGTCGCTGTGGCAAAGTCGAAGTCTTCAGAAGAGTGGTGGACCTGATGTATTGCCCAAAGGACATTCAGTTCTGAAGGTGGAGAAACAAATAATGAGTTTAATGATGGTATGTGTTGTCAGCCGGACAGCTTAATATCGCACACTATCTTTACATAGATAATTGACCAAGATAACAGTTAACGTTTTACATACCATGGTTAGCTCTGTGGATCCAATAGTAGCAGAAGTCAACGAATATGAAGGCGCCAAACCAGGTATAAGGCGAGTCCCAGGGTAGTTCCCACAGGCGGTACTGGTAGAGCATCTGGTAGCTTGCCACACCAAACGATGCAGTCACTAATCTGAAAGCACAGACGTTCATGAAATTAATTTTCTTCGAAGTTAAGTACTCATGTACTTAACAGTACATGTTAAACATACATATTATTATTACTATTTAGAACCTTTAAGCCTCCCTCCGAACGCAACACAGTGCGTTCCCTCCCTTACCCTGCAGACTCGTGAAGGATGCCAATTCCAAAAGACGAGAAAACTTGGTTGACTCTGGCAGGGCGGCCCATCAGGTAGCTTACCCTGCAGACTCGTGAAGGATGCCAATTCCAAAAGACGAGAAAACTTGGTTGACTCTGGCAGGGCGGCCCATCAGGTAGCGCGCTATCACCTCCGCAAAGACAATCGTTACGACCAGTGGAACTGCCTGAAATACACAGATTTATTATAGCTGTCTTATGTTAATATACTAAACTCACATCTTAGCTGACATTTAGATGCGAACTTACATGCAGAAATATTTCCTAATTACATGCAGAAATATTTCGATTATGTAGTTGATTTAGTCAATATGATGCAAATGTTAACAATAAAGGTACCTCTTGAACGTATTCGGGGACTTCTTCAATATGCCTGAAGGTTGACCTGCTCGGGTGGACCAAGTACAGCATCCTAGCCATTCGCTCAATCAGGAACCACCCCATCGCTGTTGCACACAAAAGCGAAACGTTAACTCGGAAATTGTGAAACGTTATTAAATATATAATATATACGTAAATAATACTAATTCTGTTAATACACATTTTTTTATAAATATATTTTTCAAAAGATAAAATGTGTTAAGCCTATACAAAGGAAAAAGTTGGATATGTTCAAGATGAAAATTGAGATAATATTAACATATAACAGTGTGTAAAAAGGCCTTCATTTAAAATAAACAAATAAAAGGTCGAATAATTAATTGTGGTGCTTACTGGTGAAGTTGTGTGCCGCCATGGGCCACTGTGGAGGACACTGGTGCTTCTACACTCAGCAGTTGGTCATCAACTGAGACAACGACGTTGTTTGCTGCTTTAGATTTAGCTACTCAGAAGGAAGTGTCCATGTAGCACGGGCTATGGTGAGCCTTTGTGAGAGAGACGCCAGTTTCTCCTTACTTTAAACACACTAGGTCAGGTGGGTGGTGGTTTGACACCGATTTCATTGTCTGGACTAGGAAGCCTATTAAGCTTAACACACGAATCAAGGAAAGTGTAGAGGGTCTATTAGCCCATACGTGGCAGCTCCTATATATATCTACACAAACTCATTAGAGTACTAATTTAACAATGTAAGAAAGATTGGAATTTTAGGCCTATTGGTTCATTCGATGAATTGAAAGAATTTCATCAGGCAATGGGATGTAGTCATTGCGCAAATTCGCCTTGGCTATAGACATATCTGGCAGGTTAGTGAGGCTGAGCCACTACCAGAATACTTAGATTGTAAACTCTGTGATGAACCTTTAATGCATTCACTAAAACACTATGTTGCTGAAAGCGAAACCGTAAAAGACTTTAGACCTCTTGGCCTATTGTACCACAAACTGTGTAAATGTTTCATTGACTCAGGTGTTTTGGACGACATGCTAACATTTTATGCAAAACTTGCTTATCCATTTTATAGAATGAAGAACAATTTTATATATATTACTTCTAAGCTGCATCACGTATGAACCCATCCCTGTCCTTGTGTGGCAGTGCATAATAGAAAGTTGTTTTCACATATTCAAACATTAATTAAAAGATTGATTGTAACCATGATATGTGCTTCAGAATACAGTTTAGACTTATTGTCTTGCGTATGACCCTCTGTCCTGCGTGACAGTGAATACCAGCATTATCCTCACTTTAATAAGAATTAATTGAAGTCCTCAGTTTAGGCAAAATTGTAATTCATTTTGTAAAAAAAATGTAAATAATAATCAATCCAAAATGTATGTATGTATGTATAAGAACATAAGACCAAAAGTAACTGCAGAAGGCCTGCCCATACGAGGCAGTTCCTATTTATAATAATCCAATCCCACTGACATACACGTCCAACTCACGTTTAAAACAACCGAGGGACCCCACCTCCTCAATGTTACGCGATAATTGATTCCACAAATCAACAGCCCTGTTACTAAATCAGTATTTACCCAAGTCTTTCCTAAATCTAAACTTATCCAATTTATACCCATTGTTTCGTGTTCTGTCTTGTGTTCATACTTTTAATACCATAAGAACAAGGTAACTGCAGTAGGCCTTTTGGCCCTTACAAGGCAGGTACTATTTATAACCACCCAATCCCACTCATATACAAACAAGACACCTGGTGTGGTTCTTAACCTATATCTTGCTCTGGTTAGGCCCATTTAGATTATGCAGTTCAGTTTTGGTCGCCTTACTATAGAATGGATACTCTATACAAATTGAATAGATCGAATACCAATGACCCAAAGTGCATAACAAAGAATTTGAAGAACCTTATAGGTAAAAAGAGAGCTTGGTACAAAAGGATTAAAAATGGGGAGGTCACTTTAGAACAGGAATTCGTACAACTGGTTAGAAATGTTAAAAAAGAGATAAGGAAAGCAAAAAGAAACTATGAAGTTCGCATAGCAGGGCAAGCAAAGACAAATCCTAAAGGTTTTTTTCAGTTATATCGTACTAAGACTAGGGAAAAGATAGGTCCATTAAAAACTGATACAGGTCAAATAACAGATAGTGATGAAGAGATGAGTAGTATTTTTAATAAATATTTTGTATCTGTATTTACTAAAGAGGAACTTAACAACATGCCTTCAGCCGAACAAGTCTATGTGGGTGGGGACGAGGACAGGTTGACGAGTTTAACAGTTACCAGGGAGGATGTTCTTAAACAAATAGTAAAACTCAAACCAAACAAATCCCCAGGGCCGGATGAAGTGTTTGCCAGGGTGCTTAAAGAATGCAAAGAGGAGCTTTGTGACCCACTGTCTACCATATTTAATAAATCAATAGAGTCAGGCAGAGTGCCAGAGTTTTGGAAAGTTGCTAATGTGATACCAGTTTTTAAGAAAGGAAGATCACTTGCGTCTAACTATCGACCAATTAGCCTAACGTATATTGTGGGAAAGTTACTCGAATCCATAAGAGCAAATAAAATTCGTCTTCATCTTGAAAAACATAAATTAATAATTGAGTCGCAACATGGTTTTATAAATGGCCGTTCATGTTTAACAAATTTGTTATCTTTTTATTCTAGCATTGTTGAGGCAGTTGATAGTGGTAAGGATTGCGATGTTGAGTACCTTGCGTTTAGCAAAGCTTTTGATACAGTGCCACATGAAAGACTGATTAAAAAGTTAGAGTCTCATGGTATTGGGGGGTGCTATATTAAGCTGGATTAGGGCATGGCTATACCAAAGAAAACAGAGAGTTAGTATAAATGGAGTCAAGTCAGAGTGGGAAAATGTTGTAAGTGGGGTGCCTCAGGGCTCTGTCCTGGGACCTCTGTTGTTTATAATATATATAAATGATTTAGATTCAGGTTTGAGTAGCAACATTTGCAAATTTGCCGATGATACGAAAATCAGTAGGGAAATTAATTCGGAGGAGGACTCACTATCACTTCAAGTTGATCTAGATAGGGTTTTGAAATGGTCGAAGGATTGGCAGATGCAGTTTAATGCTGATAAATGTAAAGTTCTGAGGTTAGGTAATGATGATAGGGTTACAAGATACGAGCTAGATGGTGTTTAGATTGCGAAGTCGAATTGCGAAAGGGATTTGGGAGTTATGATTAGCAAGAGTTTAAAACAAAAGGATCAATGCATAAATGTTCGTAATAAGGCAAATCGGACACTTGGATTTATTAATCGCAGCGTTAGTAACAAGACACCTGGTGTGGTTCTCAAGCTATATCTTGCTCTAGTTAGGCCCCATTTAGATTACGCAGTTCAGTTTTGGTCGCTGTATTATAGAATGGATATAAATTCACTTGAACGTGTCCAATGTAGGATGACAAAGTTAATTCCCCAATTTCGAAATCTTTCAAATGAAGAAAGATTAACAAAGCTTAAGTTGCATTCACTAGAAAGGCGAAGAGTTAGGGGTGACATGATAGAGGTTTACAAGTGGATGAATAGACATAACAGGGGGGATATTAATAGGGTATTAAAAATATCAACACAAGACAGAACACGAAACAATGGGTATAAATTGGATAAGTTTAGATTTAGGAAAAACTTGGGTAAATACTGGTTCAGTAACAGGGTTGTTGAGTTGTGGAACCAATTGCCGCGTAACGTAGTGGAGGTGGGGTCCCTCGATTGTTTCAAGCGCGGGTTGGACAAGTATATGAGTGGGATTGGGTGGTTATAGATAGGAGCTGCCTCGTATGGGCCAATAAGCCTTCTGCAGTTACCTTTGTTCTTATGTTCTTATGTTCAACTTTCCATAACTCTGGCACTCTGCCTAACTCTATTGATTTAATAAATATGGTAGACAGTGGGTCGCAAAGCTCATCTTTGCATTCTTTAAGCGCCCTGGCAAACACTTCATCCGGCCCTGGGGATTTGTTTGGTTTGAGTTTAACTACTTGTTTAATTACATCCTCCCTGGTAACTGCTAAACTCGTCAACCTGTCCTCGTCCCCACCCACATATACATGTTCGGCTGAAGGCATATTTTTAGGTTCCTCTTTAGTAAATACAGATATAAAATATTTATTAAAAATACTACTCATCTCTTCATCATTATCTGTTACAAGAACATAAGAACAAAGGCAACTGCAGAAGGCCTATTGGCCCATACGAGGCAGCTCCTATTTATAACCACCCAATCCCACTCATATACTTGTCCAACCCGCGCTTGAAACAATCGAGGGACCCCACCTCCAGCACGTTACGCGGTAATTGGTTCCACAAATCAACAACCCTGTTACTGAACCAGTATTTACCCAAGTCTTTCCTAATCTAAACTTATCCAATTTATACCCATTGTTTCGTGTTCTGTCTTGTGTTGATACTTTTAATACCCTATTAATATCACCTTTGCCTTTCCAGTGAATGCAACTTAAGCTTTGTTAATCTTTCTTTATATGAAAGATTTCTAATTTGGGGAATTAACTTAGTCATCGTACGCTGGACACGTTCAAGTGAATTTATATCCATTCTATAATATGGCGACCAAAACTGAACTGCATAATCTAAATGGGGCCTAACAAGAGCAAGATATAGCTTGAGAACCACACCAGGTGTCTTGTTACTAACGCTTCGATTAATAAATCCAAGTGTCCGATTTGCCTTATTACGAACATTTATGCATTGATCCTTTTGTTTTAAATTCTTACTAATCATAACTCCCAGATCCCTTTCGCAATCCGACTTCGCAATCTCAACACCATTTAGCTCGTATCTTGTAACTCTATCATCATTACCTAACCTTAGAACTTTACATTTATCAGCATTAAACTGCATCTGCCAATCCTTTGGCCATTTCAAAACTCTATCTAGATCAACTTGAAGTGATAGTGAGTCCTCCTCCGAATTAATTTCCCTACCGATTTTCGTATCATCGGCAAATGTGCAAATGTTGCTACTCAAACCTGAATCTAAATCATTTATATATATTATAAACAACAGAGGTCCCAGGACCGAGCCTTGAGGCACTCCACTTACAACATTTTCCCACTCTGACTT